TTTCCCAAATTATAGCTTTATTAATATAATTATTAAAGAAAAATATATTAGGGCAGAAATTAAAACGAAGCTTTTTAAATAAGCCAGCTAAAAAAGCTTTTAAAAAACTAGTAGCTATATTTTAAATCGCCTTTTTCCTATTATATTTCGATTTAAAAAAGCAAATAAAAGTAGAAACTGACGCCTTGAAAAATGCTATATTTAAAACTTTATCGTAATAAAATAATAAGGGGCGTTAGTACTTAATAGCTTTTCGGTCGCGGAAATTTACCGGATTAAAGCTAAATTACGGAACCCCCGATTAAGAAATATTAATTATTATTAATACGTTTAAATATTAGTAATATTATTTTTAAAAAAGTAAGGTCTTTATAAAAGTTTATATAAATTATGCTAATTTAACTAGTTTTATAACTAATTTAAAGCTTAATATAAAATAAGCTAAGTAGTATATATTATTAGCTTTATTTAATTTTATTATTAAATATTAGCCCGGAAAACGGAACTTTACCGATTTTACTTTAAAACGTCCCGATTATATAATAAAACGGTTTAATAACCTAATATTATTACTTATTTTAAAGCGGAAAATAGTAATAAATTAAAGCCTTATAATTAATAATAAGCTCCTAAAAATACCTATTCCTATAAAATACGTTTATATTTTATGACGGCTTAAAGAAAGAGGCGGCGCGTGTTACGTAATAGGTATTTATTACTGAAAAATTATAAGGTAAGGAGTAAAAGGTTAGCTAATTACTATATAATAGCCTAACTTAAGAAAACCTCCTTACCTAATTACCTAAGCTATTTAACTAAGCATATAGTTCGGCAGGTTACGTATGCGGGGCTTAAGGTATACTGTAACTTATAAGGCCTTATAACATCCCATAAGGCTTATGCCGTAACATTACCCCCCTAAATCTACTATATATAATAGCTAATAACTGCTAGCTTATAGCGCACCTGGTATATATAAGGATTAACCTAATTACTACTGCTTTAAAAAAGTTATTTTTCGACTTTATTTACCCCTATATTATGGCATACTAAATTTATATATGCCCTAATATTAGCATTAAGTAAATTTATTAAAATTTTAAAAATCGAGTCCTTTATAAAATTCAGTTAATTTATTATATTTTTTTATAACTATTTAGTATCGACTACTATAATTAGCTGCTACTGTTGTAATTTATTTAGCCCCTTAAAACCTAACCTATAACTTTATTGTCGGCAAGTAATTTATAAAAGTTCGATTTATATGGCAATAACGGGCATTTTGTAATATCGTAAGTTATATCGCCATAATATTAGCACTACTAAAAACGCTTTTTAGCACGGCGTTTCTCGTAAGTACTAAATATAGCCATCGGGCTCTCGGGAGTTTAAAATAACGCAATCTTAAGTAGCTAAGTACCGCCTTCGGAAATATTTTTAAACGTAGCTTCGGCTTTAGTTCCGTATACGTGAATAGTGCTAATAAAAATATCTATAGCACTAGAATTACGGGAAGCCGAGACATAAAAGCCTAACTGCCGGTAAAGCTATAAAATAAATTCGTTATAAATATTCGGTATTAAATCTTTTTTAAGGAGCTTCCGCTTCAGTTTATTATTTACGGCGTAGCGCAAACAATTAATCCGGTACTTTTTAAAAAGATTTATTTTATTAGCTTTTCAGGTCTATCGGTACTATTATATTAGGAAGGTACGAATAGACTTATTAAAACTTTATATAATAAATCGAAACTTAGCCGCCGCTCGTATAGCTTTATTCGGATCGGCATAAATTAATTTTAAGGTATTTAAAATAGTCTAATAATTCCAAACGCTACTTTTTTATACGTAAGCTATAATAGGGAGGACGATATATTATATTTTAAGCTCGAAACGAACGTATACGTAATAAAATTTAGTTTGGGATAATTCGATCGCTTCGCTATCGATTTCTAATTTGCCGGCAATCTGGAGAATCTATATATTAAAGTCGGAAAAGCCTAATAAGGCAGGAGGATCTGGGAAAACTAATCGAGAGCGTGGCTACTTAAATAATAAAGTATTATAAGTAGTTTTTATAATACCGAGTTTAAATTCGATAAAGGTTTTATTGGCTTAAAGCTGCTAAACGTAGCTTTTATAATTAGCCTTTAACGTACCGATATAAGTATTAAATTTAGAGGTAAGTTTAGCACGTAAGGCTTGGAAAGCGGCGTTAAGTTTATTGCTGCTAATAAAGGCTATTGCCGTTATAAAAAAGGAAGAGAAACGAAATTTTCGGCCTTACATTCGTATAGACTAGGTCGAAAATCGAATAAAAAGGTATTCCTTAAATCGCCGGAAAATTAACATATTAATTAAAGGAAAAGGAAAAAGGGTATCCGACGTATAATATAAACCGGATTAAATTAAGCACTAATTATAACGGGGTTAATTAAGGCCTTAGGTATATCCTGCTATAAAAAAGCTGGCTTATTAAGTGTATAGAAATAACGACGTAAAAATAAAAAGTAACTAACGGGGGATTTCGCTAACTATATTAAAAGATCGCTAACTTAATTAGCTGCTAGTAAACTTGACTAATAATTCTTAAGGCAAAGCTACTAATTATTAGTATATTTTATTAGCTGCTTAAAGAACTAAAGAAAGGACTTCGCTATTGCATAAAAAGGTATAACTAATTAAGGATATTATAACACCTAATAAAAAAAAAGCTAGGCTGCCGATTAAGAAAAAGGAGAATTAACGGGTAACTAATTAACTACGTTAATTAAAAAAAGCGCTAAATTAATTTAATGGCGGAATTAGCTAAATTTAGCGCTAAAAGACCTTATAATTATATAACGGCTTCAGGAAAAAAGCGACGCGTGTTACGTAATAAATATATATTACTAAAAAATTATAAGGTAAGGAGTAAAAGGTTAGCTAATTATTATGTAATAGCCTGACTTAAGAAAACCTCCTCACCTGATTACCTAAGCTATCTAATTAAACATGTGGTTCGGCAGGTCACGTATGCGGGGCCTAGGGTATGCTGTAGCTTATAGGGCCTTATAGCACCCCACAGGGCCTATGCCGTGACATATTCCGGCAAATATTTAATAAATATTAGCTTAAATTATTACCCGATATAAAGCCTACTATATAACTAAAAACGAAACTTATTATTAAAATAAATATTTCCCGGATTTAATTACTTTTATTTAAAATATATAGCGGAAAAACCCCGAATATCGAATAATTTAATCCCGTATTACTACTAATCTTACCTGGAATACCTAATAAAACCTAGGGCCTTATAACTTTATTCTTTTCGATTAACGGATTTATATACCTTAAGAAAAATCCCTTTAATTATAGCTAATCGAACTATATTATAACGATAAGCTAATTAGCTATTTCGGATAAAAACGGACCTACTAATTATTAGCCCGGAAGTTTTACTAAAAAAACTTATAATAAAACGTTCGGAACTATATATAATATTACGAGATTTATTTTAAAATGTCTTATATAAAACTATTTATAAATTTTATTATTAAGTTACCCCTTGTTTTTTATAAAAAATAAAATATAAACGTTATTTTAATAATTATAAACTGTTTTATAAAAATAACCTTTTTATTTATAGTATTTATTTATTTAAACGCCGCTTAATTAGCCTAACTATTTTATAAAAAAATCGAGTGCTAATTTAGTACCCCTATAAATATTATATTAAATTAGGAATTTATTTTTATAAGCAAGTTCTAGTTTAAATTTTACTATTATAATAAAATAAAATTACGATTTTTAATAATGTTTTACCCCCAAACTAACGGATAAATAAAGTAGATAAACTAAACGTTAAAAACGTATTTGCGAAACTTTATTAAAACCTAATAAATAACGTAGCTAAAACTATTATTTTATGCCGCGTTCGCTATAAATTTTGCTACTAATCGGACGACCGGAAAGGCGCCTTTTAAAATCTTATATAAATATTTCTTAAAATTTCGCACTTTTGTATTAAAGCCTTTTGTTATAAAAAAAGTCCCCGGGATATATGCCCGACGAAAGCGTTTAAAATAATTCTGAAAAAACTTAAAAAACTATTAAAAAAACGCTAACGAATTATACGCGAAATATTATAATAATAAATATACTTTTTTAACCTTATACGTTAGCTAAAAAGTTAGTTTTTCGATTAAAAACTTATAATTAAAGTATTTTAAGCTTGCTTTAAAATTTATAAAACCCTTTAAAGTTGTTACAAAAATCGGCTTTTAAGCTTACCGGCTCGCTTTATTTATAAAATATAGTCGAATTTATAACGTATTTCTTATATAATTTTTAAAACTATAAAAAGCTAGATTATCCGACCCTTTATTTATATTTAATTTAGAAAACAATAAAAAATAGGCAATTAAAAATATAGTCAATTATCGGGTATATTAAGGCGAAATATATTACGAAATAAAATAAAATAAATAGCCCGTTAAATATAACTAATAAATAACAGCCGAAAATATAGCTAATGCTTAAAATAATATTATAAAATATAAGCGAAAGTTAAAAAAAAAACAAAAAATAGAAAACGAAAGATTTAATAATAATATAACAAACTATAAAACGGCTAATAGTTAGCGTTAAATATTATAATTTTTAAACGCTAAAATAAAATAGTTACAAAAAGGTACTAAAAAAAACAAAAAAATAAGCCGAACATATCCTTTTAAATAATTAAGTAAACTATTAATAACTAAAATAATATTATATATTATTATAAAATAAACAAAAAAATAACTACTATATATAATATTTTAAAATTCGAACCTAAAAATAAGCAAGCTATATAATCTAAAATAATAAAGGCCCGGAAAACTAACAAATAAAAATAAAAACCGAAAAACGATAATATAAAAAAAGCGGCCGTTATAAATAGCACTTTAAAAATTAAACCTAAAAGTAGGCAGACTAAATAACCACTTATAGCACTAAATAAAAAAACTACAGTTTTATTAACATTATTAGGATTTGAACCTAAATTTTTAAGATTATTTATTTTACGTTTTACTAACTAAACTATAATATAATATCCCCGAAAAAACCCCGGAACCGGGCCGATAACTTAATTAAAATTTAAAAATTCCTGCTTTAATTTAACCAAAAACGTAACCTAAAAACGATCGGGATACGCCGCCGTAAAAACTAAACGCACGTTTTCTATAAACGCCTAAATAATAATAATTTACGCGGTAAAACTATAATCCTTTACGCCAAAATAAAATTTACTTGCGCCGGCGTAAGTTTAACGTTAGTTACGGGACTAAAAAACTATTAAAAACGGCCCCGAAAAAAAACCAATTAAATAAATATAAAATTTATAGCCCCGTATTTTAAAAAAACAAAAAGCCGTATAAATAATTATTTTATATTTAAAAATAAGTAATTAATACTAGCGGCGGGAATTTTATAAAACGTTAATAATAATATTTAAAAAAAACTAAAGATATAATTTAAAACTAACCTTTTTATTTTTATTATAACTAATAAGGTTGTATTCCGAACGGTAGATTTATAATAAAACATTTTACGCTTAAAAAAATCGGAATTAGGCCGAAGCTAGGTTTATCCGCTAGTTCTTGCCCGTAATATATATAATAAAGCTATATTTTTTAACGGCATTATTATTTATGTCTATCTAATATTTTTAAGCTAAAATAAACTAGATAATAAAACTGCTAAAACGTTTTTAATCGAATATTATTAAGCTAAAAACTTAATTAACTAATTTAATTACGAAAGTAATACGAACGGGAAACGAATATATTAATAAATTTATACGTATTATAACTTTCGGAATATAACGTATAAGCCGAAAACGTAAGGTTAAAAAATTTATACTTAATTTTTAAAAGCTCGCTATTACGAAACTAAAAAAAGTGTTATGTTTTACTGTAATAAAGCCGATATAAAAGGTCGGAAGTAACTTAATAACGTATTATATAGTAGCCGAAAATACGGTTTTGCGCCTAGCGAGTTTAATAATAATAGTAAAACCCTTTAAACCGGAAAATGTCCCAAATTATTTATAAAATAACGGCGGTATTATAACGTTAAACTAACGTAACGGGAGGCTTTTCCGGGAAGCTAGCGTAATTAATACTAGCTAAGCTAGTTTAATACCCGTTAATACCGTTATTATTACTTACGTTAGATATAATAACGAGCGAAAAAACTAAAACGAAACTAATAAGAAAATTTAAAAAACCTAACCCGAAAAAAAGGCAAAAAAACGAAAAAACGCAAAAAAACAGTCTAATAAAGTATTAAATAATTCTTAAAAAAAAAGGAAAAAGGGAAAAACGAAAACAATAGACCGATAGATTTTAATAAGTAAACCGTAACGGCAAAATAAAAACCGAAATAACGATAAGTTAATTACGGACTAAAAAGGATAGCTTATATAAATATAGTTTAACTACTGTTACTATAAAATACTAATTTAATAAATTACTAATAGCCGGGATAGCTATATAAAAAAGGGAGAATAATTATTAGATATAAGGCTTACGCTATAAGCTTTATTAACCTATAAGCCCTATCGGGAATATATCGGGGAAAAACCGGAGGTTCTTCCCTGCCTTTTATTTATATAAAAAAGGCTTCGCCTTTTTATATATAAAGGGGTTAAGAATTAGTATACTTATATTTATACCTTATAAATTAATATATTACCCGTGCCTAACTACTATTATCTCTAATAAATATAAGGACTTAATTATTACAGTTATTAATACGGGTGCTTAATTAAATATTATTACGTAATTATATATTTTTAAATATTAAATATTTATATAAAGAATTAAAATTATATAGTCCGGCTTTAATATATTAGTAAATAATAAAACTGGGAGCTTTAGCTTAATCGAAAAACCTGTATAATTAATAAGTTATAATTTGCCGTTACTGATTTATATAGTTAAAAATTTTAAAACTATATTTTTATTATTTCTTAGCTTTAACTTTATTTTTTAATCGCGGAAAATAATTTATTCTAAAAAAAGCTTATTAATAATTTCGATATTTTTCGGAAATATTAGGATTATAATACCCTTTATATATAATAAATTAGTTAAACGAATTCTAGCCGACGTTATTAATCTTTCGGAAAACTAATAACCGCTAATATTAAAAGCTAGATTAATAGTAAATAAAGGCTTTAAAATATTATAATAATAATAAACCTAGCGAAATTTAAAAATATAATTTAAAATAATTTAAGTTTAAAATAAGTCGGTAAACAAATAGAAATTACTATTAATAAGATATTTTAAGATAGCAATTAAGTATAAGCTTCGCTATTTAATAATTATTTATTAGGCTTATTATAAGAAACTATTAAAAAAGATTTAAATAAGTAATGCGGCGTATAATATTATATCGTAAAAAAATATTACGGAAAAACAAAATTAAGTTATATATAATATATAAACTAAAAGTACAAAAAATTTACTTAATCGATAATGCCGAATCGGATAATACAGTTTTTTTAGGGTCGATTAATTAGAAATAAATAATATTATAAAATATAAAGCTAAATTTCGAACCCCAAACTATATTTAAAATAAACAAAAAATATAAAAATATTATTCCGCGTTTCGCTTTCGCGCTATAAAATACCAGATTAACGAAAAAACGCCTAAACGTTATTAAAATAAAATTATTAAATATAAAGCTTATAAATTAAAAAAAAGTAATATTAATCGAGATTTTTTATCGATAAAAAATAATACTAATTTAAGACTTTATAAAAATCAGCCGAATTAAGGAAAAAATATCTCTTTTATATAAAATTAAAACAATATTATATAATATATAGCAAGCTAAATTAATTTTTATTTTAGCGTTATTAAAAATATAAGTTTTAAATGTTTTATAAAATCGGCTTAAGAATAAAATATTAGAAAAATCCTATATTTTATACCGTAACGCCTAGTTTATAATTAAGAAAAAAAATAAAAACTTTCGGTTAATTAATTCGGCTATAAAACTAAACGCTATATAAATATAAAACGCCTTTTTTCCGAACAATTATAATAAATTTACGGAAAAATTTATTATATAGGTAATAATTTTTATAATGGATTTTTTTTAAAATATAATTAAATATTATTATCTATATTTAATAAAGATTATACTATATTTTCGACGCCGATTAAGCTTTTCCGGATAACAATTTTGCTATAAAAAAAGACTAATTTAATAATACAATTTTTATATATTATTATCTGGATTTTATTCGACCTTATACCCGATAAATACAAGCTATTTTTTAATAATATTAGTATTAAAAGGCTAAAAATAAAATACAATAATTAAAAAATTATATTAAAAATAAGACGATTTATTTGTAAATATTTAAAAAATATTAATAATGTTTTATTTAATTTTAAACTAGCAGGAGTTATAACTAATACGGAAAAAAGCGATTAATATAAAAATGCTGCCGTTATTATTAGCTATTTATATAATATTAATAATTATTCTCTTAATTAAGTTAAGGTTATTAAAATTACGAAATAGGTATTTTATAATAATATTTTTAAAATGCGGGCATTTTTAAAAGTCACAGTTTATTATTACATATAAATTATATATTATACGTTAATTACTTTATTATTAATAAAACTTCTCCGGAAAAACGTAAATTAAAAATAGGAAATAAAGTAATAATAAGCTATAAATAAACTTAAAATAGCGTTAATTAATATACCCTATTTAATTATACTCGATTATATAAACAAATATATTATTTAATTTAAAATTAATAAATACGTTTAACTTATAAGGTTTAAATTTAATATATAAAAAAAGCTAAAACTTAATTATAATATTATAAAATAAAAATATCTTAAGGTAATTAAATCTTTTCGATAATTACAAAATTATTTTTATAATACGAGATTTATTTTCGAAACTAATATTAAAATTTTAATCGCTTAATTAAATAATAGATTCTTTAGTTTACTTAAGATAATACTAACCCGGTAGATAGCTTTTATTAAAATATTTAATTTCGAAATAAAATATATCCCTAAAAAACGATATTAAATAACAGATAATTTATTATATAAATTATTAAGGCTATCCGATAAACTAAATAATTAATAAAAAAAAAGTCGATAATTTTATTAATATTTAACTTAATATTCTTATAGCAAAAATATTTTAATTAAAGAAACTAATATAAAAAATACCGGAATTTTTTTTATTACCTATTATTTTATACCCGCTAAAAAGCTAATTTAAAGCTTCCTAAAAAATCGTAATATATTTTAGTACCTTAAAATTACCTAATCGATTAAAAAGTTCTAATATAACGAAATAATATTATATAAAAATAAACTTCCGGAATAAAACTATTAAATACTGTCTTAAGATAGGGTGTTAAAGTGAATCGAAAGTAAGATATTAGGTTAAAAATGAGTGTATATAGCTATTAAAGCTATATGTGTGTAACTATTTAACTATTTAGTGATATTTATAGTAAAAAAGTAAAAGAGATATAAGGGAAAAAGTCAGCTAAATATAGGTATATAATCCACTATAAATTGCCTTATGGTGTGAAAGGCCGTCACGCCAAGATGTAATTTTGTGATATTAAATGAGTGTTTATTTTCTAACTAAAGAAAAAAAGAAAATCAAGAAGGTATATCGGCATAGCTCGAGAGTATTTATATTAGCTCTCGAGAGTTATGTTATTATATCGGCTTATGATTGCCGATATTTCCTATTACGGCATAGCTTATTATATTACTCCCTTCTTTACTTTTTGCGCAATTATATCGCGTTTTTTATACCCGAGTGTAAGGTATATATAGATTCCCGTTAATTATCGGCTTTTTTAGTTACTGATTGTTTATTTTATTATTAATTAAGGCCGGTTCGGGAGGTAATAAAAAAGTATTTTTATAAAAGAATTTTTTTATTATAAAAGTTCCTAATTTTATATTACTATTAGCTAATTAAATATAAGGTAAGCGCGCATAAAATTAAAATTCGATTTCCGTTTTTAATTAGTTTTTTATT